TAAATGGGTATAAAAATGTTTATAAAAGTTTAAGTTACTATGATGTGTATATTTTTTTGTCCAAGCATACAAAATATATGCATTATTTTCACAGTTTTATACTTTTATCTATGAAGCATCTACTAATGTATTTTCTATCTAACAAAACATTGTTTTTATAAACACTTAATATTAAAGTATAAATGAATATCTTTTATTTTTAAGGAACAAATGCACTTTACCGGCCTCCTTATGGTTTTCAAATTTTTTTTTTTAACAACTTGTTTATTCTGCTTGTGATAATAAAAAAATTGTTTTTCAGAAGCTGCTATTTTAAAATAGCTTTTTTAAATTTGTGGTTGAATGGTACCTATATAGTTACATATTGGTGCATTTTACACACGTCGCATAACACTGCTGTGAACTGTGATAGTGATAACTACTGATAAGCATTCAAAATGTCCCAAAAGGCAAAAAGTATAACCAGTAGTCGCTTCCTGTGCCTACTAGCCTCAGTCTCACTTATTCAGTGTATTTTATTTATTCTCAATGCAGTAAAGTTAGGTAGTAAAATTAACTATTAACAGAGTAAAGATGTTAGGTATATTATTTTGAATTATTTAATTTAGGTAGCTCTCAATTGTTTATTATTCGTGATGAATACAGTACCTATATTTTTTTTATATTTAGAATATGCTCAAGTTACCAAAATGTTGGGAAATGGACGTCTAGAAGCTATGTGTTTTGATGGTGTTAAACGACTTTGCCATATTCGAGGAAAACTTAGAAAAAAGGTGCTCAATTTTAATAAATATGGTAAATATATATCAAATAAAAAAGTCCCTCACAAACGCCAAGAGTCCTTTAAACACATTGACTGTGTTCCAACACCATTTGGTGTCCTTAGAGTTCTTAATTATGTATATATAATATATATCCTAATTTATTTAATCATTARTTTTCATGAAATACTTGTAAGTTKTAGAGGGCTTTTCCTCCAYATTCATCATTAGGCAGTATTGCAGTATGCCATATAAAGAATCTTATTMATTTATAATTTACCTTTGGTTGGTAGTTGATAAAAAAAAAATTGGCTACGTGCCTGATACAAAATGACTAATTTACATTTAGTAGAACTAATTTTATGTTATTAGCTTTAATATTATAGACAACTGATCTAAGATCAAACTAAAAGAAAAGAGGTAATTGTTTTTTTACAATAGTTGAATTTTTAAGTGAGTTATGAGCATGTTAATATTTTACATACCTACTCATAAATTGCTTAAAAATTCAAATGCCATAGAAAAAAATAAATAGAGGAAACACAAATAATATTCATTTATTCAAGTTTGATGATAAGTAAATTAATTTTAATATTTAATCTATCAACACAAAATTGCTCTTTCCAAAGGAAAATGTWTGTTCTACGTTTGTCAGAYAAAACATGTGGGTAATCTGCTTAACAAAAAAACAACACAAAATTTTCCATCAGGTTAAATTTAAATGTTAACGAACATGTATTTAATTGTGTATTATGTTAAAAAATATTTGAAAGGTCCTGAAGAACTAGATCCTCAAATAGTAATTTTGATATAAGTCACTTATATTAATATATACTATAACTTATATCTRTTGTTTTTTATAAATTTTTATTTACTACCATAAGTATTCAATAAAAAATGCTTTCTCTAACTTTGTAAATTTAAAATTTATTTTGTTTGTATTATTTTGTTTTATAATATTATTATTAYTTCTATTATTAATTGATTGATTAAATTGAGTATAGTTATTTTATTTTATATATTTTTAATTTTAGGTATGGATCAATCAAGCTGATATAGTATTAATAGGTTTACGAGAATATCAAGATACAAAAGCTGATGTAATCTTAAAGTATACGCCYGATGAAGCTCGTAACTTAAAAACATACGGAGAATTTCCAGAAACTGGTAAATATTATTCCATTGATTTAATCAAACATTTTTGGACATCAAATAAAAT